TATTCTCGATCACGTGGTGCTTAAAACGTCATTCCTGTCGTATTGACGTCTGTTCCACGCTTGAAACTCGCGGTTAGCGTGAGGTTCAGCGTGACAGTTTTTAGAGTGTACGCGTTGTCGGGTGGTGTTTGCGACAGCACATCGTCTATTTCGTCTGCAACCTGGGGCGGTAGGCTGGCGACGACATGGTAAAAACGGGATATCTGCGTAGTGATTTTTCGCAGATGGAAGTGCGCCTCCACCTGGGTAAACCAAACCTGAGGGTTTTTTGGCCAGAATGGTGGTAACCGCAGAGGCAGAGTTCCGGTCACTTGAGTCCCGCTTGCTTCGTCAATGTCGCCGTGTGGTTGAAGGGTGGGTGGACCGGTGTTGCCAGGTTGGCGGCCGGTCGTGCCGCTAGTGCCCGGTTGTCCTTCGTCGGTCATGATAGAGTAGTTCGGTTGATCACGTCCGGGTCACCAAATCTATAGAGACGACCGACCAGGTTGATGTCCGAAATCCAACTGGGCTTTCTATTCTAATCCCCTCGCGCTTCGACCTTCTCTTCTTTTTCTAGAGATGTCATAGTGGCGCGTGGCCACACCATACAACCCCAATTAATTAGAGTACTTTCCAAAAAAAAAAACTTAAAAAAATGGGGCGAAAAAAAAGGAACCGGCGAACATATATTTTTAACATTATTTAGTGTTTTACAAATAAAGTTGCATTAATGTTTCATTATTAACACGGAAGTAACGTTTAAATATATGTTCTAAAATCATTATTTGAATGTTTTATTTTTAACAATATTTTGTTGTTTTACAAATAAAGTTGCATTAACACAGAAATAATGTTAGTAATAAATGTTCCAAAATCATCATTTTAATATTCTATTTTTAGCGTTATTTGACAGTTACATATGTGATGTTACATTAACGTTTCATTATTAACACAAAAATAACGTTAGTAATAAATGTTACAAAATCATTATTTGAATGTTCTATTTTTAACGTTATTTGACAGTTACATATGTGATGGTACGTTAACGTTTCATTATTAACAGAGAAATAACGTTAGTAATAAATGTTCCGAAATCATTATTTGAATGTTCTATTTTTAACGTTATTCAACAGTTACATACGTGATGTTACATTAATGTTTCATTATTAACACAGAAATAACGTTAGTAATAAGTGTTCCAAAATCATTATTTGAATGTTCTATTTTAACGTTATTTGACAGTTACAGATGTGATGTTACGTTAACGTTAATAGCACAACATATAACATTATATGTTTTACTGGAACGTAATACTAATGTTTCAAATACAACTAAAACATAATATGTTTAACTTGAACGTTACATTAATGTTCAGGTATAACACATAACGTTATTTAAACATACGCAACAACAAAATAACATTGCTACATTGTTTGGTGCTACCTGGTGTAAAGTGGTAATTAGAAAATTATCTCTCTTATATTCACTCATTAAATCCTCAAATATTCGCCTTTGCTTGAGCGTTCTACCGTGTGTCCCGAATAAAAACCAGGCTTTTTAAACCGACCGCAAAATTTTGTTTCGTAACCTATTGCGCTACGATTTTGTGCAGCGTTGCCCAAAGATGGTGCACTTTTTTTGTAAAATTTGCAGAGAGCGAACTTACACGAGGAAAAAGTAAAAGAAGAAAAAGGCTTAGCTCCTATGGAAACGCAGCGACGCCACCGGTCTTCAAACAATGCGGCGCCGTTTCGCACGGGAGACAAGAGATGGCGCAAGCGGTCGCGATACCAACTGCCGCCAACGAACGAGGCGCCGAGAGCCGGCGTCTTTAGCAGACGAGATTTTCGACTCAAAAGCGGCACGCCTTCCGCAGGCGGCGACAGTCGCAGAAACAAAAACAGGCGCGGTAACAACGAAGAACTGCAAAGGGGACGACAGAAGTGCACACAAAAAAAAAACAGTAAAAATAACCCGACAACTCATTTTTAATACGAATGCATTAACTGCCTCATGGAGCGAGCTGACGTCATCAGTCTGAAGCGCGAAAACGGCAGATAGTTTCCTTCGGTTTCACTGGCTGGCGCGCGTCGACAGGGCTCCCATTGGCCGCTGCGCTCGTCAGTTTCCACAACCGCTCACCCCATCGCGCTGCGTGTCCATCAGCGCGGAGCGTCCAAGGTCACCAGAGGAGCAAACGCGCCGCCCGGCGACGAAAAGTACGCTGCAGACGAAAAAGGGAGCGGAGAGCGGCTTGCATGCTTCCGCATTCACAACTCATAAGGAATGCTTAGGGTGTACCTCGATCTTTTTTAATCGATTATAAGTCCATTCAATGTATTTTATTACTAAGGATGATAAAAAAATGCATTGGCAAGTGATATCAAAAAAGCTCGCTACGCTTTTGAGTCGAAAAGATCGTCTGCTAAAGACGCCGGCTCTCGGCGCCGTTTGCTCGTTCGTTGGCGGCTGGTGGTGTCGCGATTGCTTGCGCCATCTCTTGTCTCTCGTGCGAAACGGCGCAGTATTGTTTGATGACCGGTGACTTCGCTGCGTTTCCATAAAAGCTAAGCCTTTTTCTTTCTTTACTTTTTTCTCAGATAAAGTCGCTCTTTGCAAGTTAAATGAAAAAAAAAAGTGCACCATCTGTGGGCGACGCTGCACAAAATCGGAGCGCTATAGGTTACCGAACCGAATTTTGCGGTCGATTTAAAGAGCCTGGCCGCTACTTGGGGCATCCGATAGTTTGAAATGTGTTAGCCTTGTCAACATTTGCAAGAAATATTGCCAGAGTTCAGATAACTAAATTCTACTCCGCGCTATTTTTACAGCGGAGCTGTTAAGGGCTAGTTCCCCCAGGATCGTGTCAGTAAGCAAACAAACGATGACAAAGAACTGTGGACAGCTACCGCAATCTATGAGCAACGGCGGCAACCAGACAATCTGCTTGACGGTTGTTTGGTTGCCGCCTTCGCTGATAGATGGCGGCAACCTTTCGAGCCTTTCCACACTGGCTTGCCCACTTGCGGCGGGCCATTACTTCATTCCCACCATAGTACAGCTTCGCTGGTCTTCCTTCTTCACCAAAGTGGAAAGGCTGAGAGTGTTTTTTGTTTTTTTTTTAGATTTATGCAACGTAAGGGTTAGAATCGAGTTCTTAGAATCTCTTACGACTAGGGAACACCGTATCACGCTGGTGCCATCTATGAGGTAACGTTGGAGCTGTCTTTCACGAGAGCGAAAGTTTTGCGTTAGGTGCCAGATCAAATGTACATACTATTCACAATTAACAGGTGTTTATTGCATTTTTAAATGTTTGGCAAGCAAAACTACAAAGATCCAAGAACAAAAAGAAAAGAATAAAATGTATGCGCAAAGTGCAGTGATTCTTGGCCGCCCATAGATGGTACTAGTGTGTTTTCTCGTCGCAAGAGATTCTTTATGGTTTTAAGGCAAACGGTCAAAAATCTGTGAACCAGTCTGAAAAAAAAACATTTATCTGGCAGATTGTTTGAACTTTGAATGACGGCTGGTATGTGTGATAAGCTCATACCAGCTGGTGTTTTTGTGTGGCACTGACTATTCCTGGTGGCGCAGTCACCTACAACGGAAGAGTGTTCGAGAGATGTAATAAATCCCGCATTTTAGCATAGAAATGCTTAGGGCGGATATTCATGAACATGATTTCTCACGATAGCTAGAGCCGAGTTTTTGTCACGTTAAATTACAGCATAGCGTTGCTCTGGTCGAAATTAAAGGAAAGAGCGTAACATACGCGCTCCTTCAGGAAGGTCCAGCAAGCTACGGACACAATGTGCTGGGCTGGTGCAAGCGACGCCTGGGCCATCTACATTTATTTATTCGACCCTTGTGCAACCTATGATTATGGTGGCGGCGTTCAGTGCGATTGTTCAGCGGGACAGAAGCATACCGCACAACGATTTATGTATGTCTTGATGTAGCAAACATTGTTGCAGCATTTCCTGACCATTTCAAAGCACACATGAGCAATGGCCGTCTCCAAAATTGAATTGTACTGCGTTTTATGTCGTTAGGCATTTAAACGAATACGTCCTAATCAACAACACTAGACAGAAATCTTTATTCAAACTCGGCTTCAGAGGTAATATTTTCATATGTCTTCCAGCCTTTCGGCTGTTACTATCATCAAACCAAATACTACTACTTCGTTGTCGCCTGTTTTGTGTACGGCTTATATGGTTGAAGGATACGGAGCTTCCAAAAGAGTTTAAGTTACTTGATATAACGCATATGTTAGAAATAAATAAAAAAATTGTGGCGCAACATTTATTTACGGGAAAATTTCGTGCAGGTGTTTTACGTTCTAGACCTCGTTTATTTGCTTCTGTTATAAGCACTGAGTCAGCTTTCATTGGTTAGAGAGATGATTGAGGTGTACAATGTTAGTTGTAAATTTGCTGATGTGGGTTCTGATAGTTATTTGTTTACATATTCATGGTTAAGTTACAAATGATGTACATAGAGTCAATGCTGCTTGTAACAATATTGCGAGATCGCTTTTTCCGCTCTGGTTTCAAACGATAACAAGTGCAGCTGCCGGTGTTTGCAATCAGTAGTCCAATATGTCGTGTAGCTCGTGGAGCTCGATATTTCTTATGATTGCAAGTCGTTTCGCGTTCACCGAGATTTTTAGAGAACGATTTTCTCAACCAACGTAGTTTGGAGCAAACAACTGACGTACACGCATGTGGAAGTGCTACTGAAGTACATTATTTCGTAGCAGAACTGGCGTAGCCCTAGTGTCCTACTTTAAGTATAAGGTGGCCATAATAGATTCTAGCGCTGTAAAACAAATCTAAAATATAATTTCTAGGCACTTATAAAGTTTTTAGAAGTTCCATGTCCCTTTAATAAAAAGTGAAAAAAAGAATGTGAGACATAAAATGGAATAAAATTACGTTATATCGAAGTAATTATTTTTTATTTGGCTACAGAAATATGGGCGATATCAGAGCCCTAATTATATCTTGCCACGGGAGTCATTTCCTTGCTGGCGGCCAACATTCGCCCAAACTCGTAAAACTTGCTGCCGGTTGCTTGCAATACACAGCGTAGATAAAAAAGCAAATGCCATTTAATATTCCATTAGTATAGCGACCTCCAGTGAATAACTCGCACACTGAAAAAAAGACAAGAAAATGTAAGATAAAGTGCATAAATTTACACTCGTTGAAGGTAATTGTGTGTTTCAAATAACTTTAATATCTTTCGTCATAATACTAAGAACAACGCACAAGCAGAAAAAAGAGAAGAAAAGGGAACACACTGTTGCTAGTTCTTATATCTCCTCCTCCTCACTGTTTGTGCGCTGTTTTTAATACAATGTTACCTTACCAACTACCTCCACTCTCAACTTTACAACCAATTATATATGTTTCACCCCCATGTTACCATGCCCTGTTACATTCCTAGCCCCGACGAGGGCGTGCTCCATATACAGCACACTTACAGGGACGGTCCGCGACACCATCGCTCGGCAGAGACCCTCTCGAAGCTTCGGAACCAATGCTTTCGAACATCAGCTGAAGGAACCGACATCAACGGGTCTTCGTCTTCCTCTTTCTCCACCAAGAGCAGAAGCTGCTGCTGCGGCGACATAAACCCCCGCGCCAATGAGAGTGTCTGTTGAACCTAATCTTCATCGAAGCCAACATCCGCCACCAATCACACCAGGACCCCGCCGGTGACAAAACACAGTCACGTCACCGCGGCTATAAAAGGGGGCCCGCGGACACGCGCGGCGGAGACGGAATGGGACCTACCATCGACCGCAACAATTATCTCATGTCCCATTAAAACATAGTCACCTTATAGCCCTAAACCGGTCTCCAGCCTGTCCGCCCCCCAGGTTTTTACAGCCCTCAATGCCATTGTATTGTAAATATCCTTGAGCACTAGTTTCAACTACACATTTGCTTATCTAAAATCGCTGGCTGGTGTAGGAATTTGCAGATGAATCTAAACCGCTGCATTGTGTAACTACGTCAATCCCGCTTAATTTGTTTTATTTACATTAAAGGATTTACTTACGATATACTTACGTTTTATTTACGTTAAAGAATTTGTTATACTTACGTTAAAGACCCCAGGCTAGCAGCTGTACTGCACTGACAAAACTTCTGTGGTGTTTCAGCTGTAGATGAGAAATTTAGTCAGTGCAGCACAACTGCTAGCCTAGAGTCTAACGTGCACCAAGCGACAGTGGTATGCGTCCTCACACCGGTACGATGCTCATCTAGATTGAAACGGAAAGAGATGGGAAAAGATTCTTAGGTTCAGTCTCCCCCCCTGCCCGTTTCAATTTGGATGAGCATCGTACCGGACGGCAGTCATGTATGACCACTGCATGGTGCACGCTAAAGACCCCAGGCAACCAGTTGTACTGTACTGGCTAAATTTCTTATCTACAGCTGAGACACCAGACACCCATAAATGCTAACTAACTTCAGGTTGTATAAATATACACACAACACAATTATTGTTATTATTTAGGCGAAGCTATGAAGTTAGATCAACTCGCGATGAAAACATTTCAATGATCTTCCGCTGTGTGCGATAACCTTCCACGTAATAAAATGGTTCCTGACCCGCCTGCCATTTCCATATAATTTTCTCGAAAATAAAAACTGTTGCTGTCAATAAAAGTTTATTTTTAAGAAGAGTATATGTACGCTCCCTGTATTCACGTCAGCGCTATCCCGTGACGCCCGACTGCCACGAGCCCCCCTGATGCCCTCTACGTGTGACGTCATGGGAGAAACGCTCTGGTCTTTAAGTGGGCTTGATGGTTAGGCGCGTCAAATATAAAAAGCTGGAAGGACAGACAAGAGTCTTGTCTTATTTGTCCTTCGTGTTTTTTTGTTTTTTTTAATGTTTAGTGTGCACTTTCAAAACGTCGTTGGTCTATTGCTTCGTCGTTCAAGTAATCAGCCGCGGCTGGAGAGAAAACATTTTGACACCTGTCGCCTTTCTTTCAACAAGAAGTTGTTGGATGGAAAAACCTCCAACAGCTTCAAGAGATTACTGTGACCTTTATTTTATTTTGGGGGGTGAACAGTAATATAACCAATTTTAGAAAATACACTTACGGTTATGATATCCTGGAGTTCTGAGTATAATGCACTGTTTCCTGTCGGTGAAGATTACCTTCGTTTCATGAAAATCTGTTGAAAAATAAAAAAATAGATGTAAATGGGCACAAGAGGTACTATGTGCTTTGAAGTTAGAATTAGTTTTACTTACTCCCATTCCGGTATAACCTGGCCGCTGCTCTATAAGTATCATTGTGATAACTGAGTGTATAAGGCTTGAAAGCCTGAACCATGGCCCTGAAAATGAACTTGCGCTTAACTTTGTAACATCACAAGCACTCCTAGAGACAGATACAATGTCCAAAAAACTCAAAGGGTGTTGGGAAGGTACTATTGTTGTGAAAGGTAAAAACATGGTATGCCAGAGCCACTTACTTTTCCGGCCCGGATGTTTTACTGCTAGTGGGGGGGGGGGGGGGGGGGAGGGGCGGGGTTGAAACGAGTTTTGGGCTTGACGTACGGGTTTCTGAGAAATGAACAACATTTGAATCTCAAATGTATGATCTAGTTTCGGAGCATTGTCGGATGGGGTTGTTGAGGGTTGCAAATTTACTTAAGAGGACATAGTCAAACATTGCGGTCACAATGGTCTGGATTTTGCGACTCCCATATTTTAATTGTCATGTGGTTAGAAATCTCTCTTCGCGGACAACCCAACGAACGTAGTTTTCTTGATGTCACTTGCCCACAGCTGAACAAGTACACCTTTAACGTGGAGAAGACAATCAGCTGTAAAGTTAACATTTAAGATATTGATATATTTTAACTAGTACATCTATAGTAAACGTTATTATTAACGCAGGATATGCATATTGACTGAATTTTATTTGAAATGTGTTAAGCTCGCATGTAACCAAAGTTGTCACACGCAGGACAAGGCAATTTAAAGCATACATCACCAATACGGCGTACAAGTTCGTCTCCTCTTTGCGCACCTCGCGCGCTCGTTTACCACTTAAATATGCCCATATGCTTGTGATTCCAGCAAACCTCAACCAGTGACGTTGTTCAATATCTTTGAAATGGCAAGTTTACCCGATTTTAAGCAGAAAAAAAGAAGAAGAAATGTTTTGTCACGAAAAACGTGACAAGAGAGACTGACGCAGGCGATGTGTAACGGTTACCACGGGCTCACCATCGAACTGCACGTGTTCTTGTAAATATTGTACATAACCCGTTTCTTGTCCTTCTCAACTACGATCTTGTACAAATATTTGGTGCCGAGACCCGGGAGGAAAAAAACACAACCATGGAGAAGCTCAACAAAAGACGTAGAGTAACCTGATTTACCGTGACGAGACTCGTCCAGGGAATATCAACACCTCTAGATCTCACACCGCTCCAACATGGTCAAATCAAAGGGAAGCTAAGTTTTCTAAGTATAAAAGAAAAGTTTCTTCACAATCTTGACGCGGACATCCCAGAGCTTCTGGACGTGGCAGAAATCGAAACATAAATGCAAGCCAACATCGTCTAAGAAGAGAAAATGAACAACATAAAGAAATAGAGTCGGTAGGTTGCTACGAGAAGTGCTCCAGCTAAGAAACCAATCAACTCGTAATGATTCAGACCTCGGCTTTTAATCAAGGGGCCAAACAGAACGACGAACGAGTGGAATTAACGTGGAATCGACGTGAAACGTCCCAGATTAGGACTCCCAAAATATAATGGAGATATCGAGGAGATATCAAGTCGACAACTTTAAATATTTGAAAAGTATTTTAGTTGGTAAAGCAGACGCAGTCATAGAGGGGATGCCTCTTAGCGACAATAACTAATGCGCGGCTCTGGAGCTCCTGGAGAAGAGGTTCGGTCAGCATACCGCGATCGTAACCTAACCTCATGGACGCAAAAACCTATTGGATGCTCAGAAGACATGGACGATCGCAGGAAGCTCCATGACAATGTGATACCACGAATCAAAGCCTTCAAAGCTTATGAGTCAGTGTGAACTTGTACGGAGTTCTCCTACATGCTGTACTGCAAAGAACACTTCCTCTGGACCCCTGCTAACGTACAACCGACACATATATTTCAATAGACTTACAGGAGAAGCTACAGAGGAGCTTTCCAAACTTCTTACGTTCATCGACATTGAAGTCACAACTCAAGAGAAAGGCCCTCAACTTTCAGCCATTTATACAACGAAAAACCCGTTTTATCACGAGAAGCAACTTTCTCTAACAAAAGTTCTGCCTCAGATCTCCCACAGCTCTCCCATAGTAGACAAGGTAAACATTCTGCGATGTCTTTCTTGTGGCTCTAATCAGCACTCGGCAGGAAGAATGATCAGCAGCACTTACAGTAAAAGAAAATAGAAAAATTTAAACAAGAATTAATCCACGTGTTTTCGATGCGCGAAACATTTTGCCGATCCAGAGATTTCAGAAGCGCAGTTTCTTGTTCAAAGCGTGGCGACAAACACCTGACCGTTCTGTGTGACCCAGAACGGGCTGGTATAGAAGAGTCATCTACCATTCATGATACACCTCCACAATTCATCGGAATATTAAGAGCCGGCTCAACTTGCTCCATACAAGTCCTGCTACAGACCGCCAAAGTTCAAGCGAAGGGTCAAGTTGATGGAACATCTCAAGTGCTCATCGATGGAAGAAGCCAGCGCTCCTTCATTACAAAAAAAAAAAATACTTCCGAGAGACTTCGTTGCCGACCGGTAGGCGAAGATCACCTCATCATTATTGGCTTCGGTGACTCTATAAGGGAAAAAAAGAGGTGATGTCGGCGCGTTGAGATTCAGCTGAGAAGTCTCCACAGCACGGCGAGATTACCATTGAGGCCTTAGAGGTTCCTGAAATCGACGGAGAGATTCCATGTCTAACACATAACGACTTAATTCAAAAGCTTCAATCGAAGGGCATGATATTGGCTGACATATCCTCAGTAAATAGCCTACAAAACCCGGCGTGAAGTTTCTTATCGGTTGAGAAAATTAATAGAGTGTCAGGACCCGAAAAGGCGAGCATATCAACCCTTCTTTGAGTGCCGTGAAGACAATCTTTGACTGAACCTTACAAGGTCACATCAAGGTGAGCAACGCTTGTAACATCTGCGCAGCCACTGCCGTATTCAAGATAAACGTCAGCGGAACGTCGAACGGCATCACGACAGAGCCTCGCAAACTGTAAAGACTAGAGAGTTAAGGAATAAAACATTTCCCAGTGAAGAAACAACAGGACAATCACTGTTTGTATTGATTAACTAGCTCGACTCTTCGGAACACATAGTAGACGGGACATATGAAGCCCGACATCTCTGGAAGTGCCCGAACCCTCCGTTACAAAGCTATAAGGACGTCGCAGAAGCTCGCTTGGCTGCAATGCTCAGAAAGCTACGCCCAGATGGCTGTGCTCTCATGCAGTACGACAAAGGCATGAGGGAATATCTGCTTAACGGGTTCGCTGTACGCGTTGAATCGGATGATGACACTGAACATGCATGAATGACATATTACTTGTCTTACTAAGCAGTTATCGAAAACGATCCAGAAACAACGAAAGTCAGAACAGTGTTTTTTGCGTCATCGCTTGCTCCCTATTGTATTTCTCTAAATAAAAACCTGCATGCTGGATCAAATTTGAATGCTCAACTTATACGGATGCTGTTAAACGTTTGGAAGCACCCAATCGCGGTTAGCGCTGATATTGAAAAGGCGTTCTTACAGGCTTTTCCTGCATCTGAAGACCGAGGTGCTTTTCGTTTCTTCTAGTTTAATGATATCCCAAAAAGTGCTCAACCGAACAACCCTCGTGAAATGTAAAGAATTTCAAGGATACCGTTTGGAGTTTCCTGTACTTTTTGTGTCTTGCAGCCACTATAAGGCATCATTTAAACAGCGTTAAAGGTAGGTTTCTATTTCCCGCCAAGATTTTATCTGCGTGTTGTATGTCGACAATCTTCTCATCGGTATTGAAACAGTCGAACAAGCTGAGTGAAGCCGGAATGAATCTTGGGAATGGGTGCACAAATGATAAGGAGCTACAAGGCACTTTCTACAGGAACGAGCTATCAGAGAAAACAGATGTCCTCCGGACAGTTCAAGGGGGTGCATCAAGATATTAGGGCGCCCTTAAAGCAAGAACAGTGGCCCTTCTGCTCTCAATATTGAAAACGTGCTGGAGTTTGTGAACCTCACTAAACTAACGAAACGTAACATAATACAAACTTCAGCCAAAATATTCGACCCTCTCGGATGAATTGCTCCAGTAGTCCTTACAGTGAAATTATTTTTTCAACGACTATTGGAGCAAGCGATAGCATGGGATGATGATCTTCCAGATAACATCTCCTGAGATTGGGTTGACTAGCGTTCCCGACTGCCCAATTTTCGCAAACTAACGATACGATGCCTTTATCCGAGCCGCATGTGTTTGCAGACGCATGTCCATACGGTGCAGTGGCGTAGTTCAGTAGCAGAAGTGCAACCGACGTGTTGGCATCTTTTATCATGTCTAAGCCCCGGGGTAGCACCACTGAACACTCTCCCTCTGCCAAGGTTGAAATTGCTGGAAGCCCTGTTAGCCGCATGGCTACAACGATATATCATCGTCAGCTTAAATATTGTCACAGACGCAGATTTTCTTTAGACATACTCAAACATTGCTGTGTATTGGATCAAAGGTTCACCGACAACACGGAAATTTAGCAAATAACCGCCCTTTTACAATGGAGAAACTGTCCTGAATGTGAAAAGACTGCATACCTTTTTGCGACAGATAGCACTTGTTCTTCTTTTGTGCCAGCCACCAGATGGTGAACAGGCCCTGAGTGGTTAATCAGGCCACAAAATGATTGACCTACGAACTTAATAGCAGAAGAGAAATGGAAAGTAGTGCTGCAGAACATTTTTGAAAACATCAAAATTGTTTCTATTTTTTATCTTTAAAGATGTACGGAACAAGTAACGTGAAAGTAATTTGTAACGTAACGAGTAAAGTAGTCTGTTACTTTACAGCGAAAGTAATTTGTAACGGTAATCTATCACATTTCAGGCTCAGTAATTTGTAATTGTAATCCATTACATATTTCAAGTAACGGGCACAAGTCTGATGGCATCATCCGAGTTGGAGGAAAATTACATCAAACGGA